TCAGTCCCTGGGCCCCCCCAGGCCAACGGGGGCTCCTCGGGCGCAGGGTGCTCAGCTTCTGCCCGGGCCCCACTCAGTCCGGGGTCCGAGTCTCAGCTCCCCTCCCCCTTCTCTCCCCAGCGCCCCCGACCCTTTAACTGGCCCCTTCCCGGCCCCCACTGCCCAGGGGTCTAGGGCCCGGCCTGGGCCCCCCCACCGTTTCCGGGGTTCAAGCCCCGCCCACCACCGGTTCCCGGGGAGGGGGGGGTCCCTGTAACCTGCCCCCCTCCCCTGGGTCCTCCCCCAGGCTGCGGCCCCTGCGCTACCACTATCGGGCGAGCCGAGGGGGGTGAAGGTTTGCGCGCGACCCTCCAGAGAGAGGGATTTAAATAAAATTTGAATAAATCCCCTTCCTCAAGCAGAAGGTTGGAAGGATAGGATGGAAGGAGGTAGGGAAAGGGGGAGGGGACAATCGGGGTGCCTCAGCCCCCTTGGTCCCCCGGCCCCGCGCAGCTTCGGCCCGGGGCCCTGGCCGCCTCTCTCATCCCTCCAGAGCTCCTTCCTCCTTCCTCCTCTCTTCCCCCTCCCGTCCCTCCTCCTTCCCTCCTCCTCCTCCTCCTTACTCCCTCCTTCTCCCAGAGGAACCCCGCCCCCTGCCTCCTCCTTCCCTCACCGATCCACATGCCAGGACGAGCACGCGCAGGGGACGACGGGAGTCGTAGTCCTGCGGACCTGGTGCTACCGTGGGAACAATGGGGCGCTGGGGCTAAAGGGACTACAAATAAGATGGCGGAGGGCGTGCCAAACTGAGCGCGGAGGATGCCGGGAGTTATAGTCCGGTTGCCCGGAGGCTCCCCGTTGCAGAGCATACAGATGGAGGGGGAACGATGACTACAAACAAGATGGCCTTCTTCCCCGACCCGACCTCCTTCCCAGGCACTCACACGCCCTCCTGTCCACAACCCTCCGCGTGTGTGGTACCTGACGGGAGTCGCAGTCCGTCTGCTGCCTTCCCGCTGCCATTTCTACTTCTCAGGAACAATGGAAAGGTGAAAAGGAACGAGGACTACAAACAAGATGGCTGCAGAGGGGCGTACAACCTGACTAGTAGCCGATCTCATGAGGTGCGATGGGAACAGTAGTTTTTGTAGGTTGCTAGTGTTCCTTAAGAATGACGACACTGGGGGGTTAAGGAGACTACCATAAAGATGGCAGGTTACCTAGCCTCTTCCCGTCGCCTCACTCTACCACCTTGAGCACCTCGCCCGCCTGTAATATCGGAATCCCCCTCCCGGTGGCGCAGAGCCTGGTGGGAGTTGCAGTCTTCCCGTCTCTTCTATTATCTCCGGTCGAGACAATGGAAATAAAAAGGGGCGGGGACTGTCTGCAGAAATGGCGGCCGAAGAGAAGGGGAGACGACGACCTGGGATTTGTAGTCCACGCCCTAAGGCTACTCCCTGCGAAAACCGGGGAAAGGACTACAGGAAAGATGGCGGCTCACCGCGCTCCCTTTGTGGCAAGGCCTGCTGGGGGATGTAGTCCTTTGGCTTCTACAGAGAAAGGACGGGGGCTGCAGGAAAGTGTATTAGCGCACGCAAGCCGAACTGCGAGCGAACGCGAACCTGGGGTTGTCCTCTCCCTGCTACCCCCTTCTCGGTGCTCTGCCGGGAAATGGAGTCCCAAGCCTCCCCTCGTTAGTGGAGGGGGCGGGTTTATGTCACTAGTGGGATCAGTGCCGGCGAGGGAGGAAGAAGGATGGGCAATCCAAGAACATGTCATGTCCGCCTCCCTGTGTGGCGAGCACTTAGTATTTCTGGGGCGGCTCTTAAAGGAAAGCACATTAGTATTGTCGCGACAAGGGGGGGTGGTTCAGGCCGAAAGCACCGTCATGCTGCTTGTACACCTCATATCCGATGCTTGTTTCCCCATTCACAGGGAATCGGTATCTTTCAAGTCGCGAGGGTTCCAGGGAGAAGGCTCTGAGGTCATGCAAAAACCCCGCCCCGCCTTCGGAAGTCACCAGCTCTCAGTTTTCACATCTGAAAAATGGGGATAATGCTACCCACCTCCAAGCAGAGTTAGGAGTGTAAAGACAATGGTCACGAGAGTTCCCAGCTCAGGGCCTGCCATGGGGCACGTAGTGGTGGTCCCTGTTTCAAGCTCCGTCTTAGCCCAGTTGTTCTGGGCTCCCAGGAGTCCATCACGCTGGAAGTGCGCTCCAGGCGGGCAGGCTATCTATCCCCAGTTGAACCTCCTTCTCTCCCCGCACCGCCCCGCCCCCTCGGTCTGGTCCTCCAGCGTCCACTACCGAGCACTGCTCCTAGGGGGCGCCCATTCTCCACTTGACCGAGGTGCTACTTCAATCGGAGGTTGTAGGCGCTGCCTACTGGCCAGCCTCCTCTCCTCTCCGGCCAGCTTTGGAGGGATCCTCCTAACCTCAGCTGCCAAAGCAAACGGAACTGCTTTCCACCTCTCTGCCTTCTTGCCCGCCTTTTCTACCTGGGAAAGGGTCCTGCGAAAGACTCGATGGGTCTGGCGCTGGCCAGTAAGGTGTGAAACCCTAAGCTTGCAGGGGCTGAACTGAGAGGCTCCTCCTAGCTCACGTTTATCAGTCAGGAAATCATGCTGTCAGAAGGATTGTCTCTGTGTCCTCATTGTTTTAGCTTCGGCTTGCACGATAACTTCAGGAAAGCTTGGGAACAATTCCCTCTGCCTGTTAGGCCCTTCCCCTCCTTCTGTTCCACTTCTCCACCCAACTAATTACTCACCCTCAGGTCTCTGTTTAAATGCCACTGTCCCAACGAAGCTTCCTGTAATTCCCATTTGAGATTCTCTTATTGACTCTTCTGCTGGATTATAAGTTTCATGAGAAATCCACCTCACATGTTAAGTGCTTCCAGCATTTCATTTGATCCTCAAAAGAATGCTGTGAGGTAGAATTCCATTTTGTAGATGAGAAAACTGGGGCTGAGAATGGATGAGTTGTAGTCAGGATTCAAACCCAAGACTCCAGAGTCCGTCTTCATAACTACTGGAACATCCGCAAACTGATCAAATCCAACCCATGTGCATGTTTGGTTTGGCACAACAACAACAAATTCTCAAGAAAAAATGGATTTTTACTTTAATTTGAAATCCTGAAGTCTAGCAACTGGGTGGGTAGGGGGAAATGGCAGAGTTAGATTATAAAGATATAAGAAATGCCCTGGCTGGTTTGGCTCAGAGGGTAGAGCGTTGGCCTGCAGACTGGAGGATCCTGGGTTGGATTTCAGTCAAGGCACATGCTCGGGTTGCTGGCTTGATCTCCAGTGGGGGGCGTGCAGGAGGCAGCCGATCGATGGTTCTCTCTCATCATTGATGTCTCTATCTCCCTCTCCCTCTCTGAAATCAATAAAAATATATTTTAAAAAAAGATATAAGAAAACTTTTACTTTTCACTTTATAACCTACTCTACAGTTTGAGATCTTTACCATAAGCAGATATTATTTATATGCTGAAAACATGAGCTGAAAATACTATAATCTAGCCATGTTGACATTAAAATATAAAGATGATAGGGAAGTAGGGGGTTGGGTGAAAAAGGTGAAGGGATTAAGAAGTACAAATTGGTTGTTACAGAATAGTCATGGGGATGTAAAGTACAGTATAGGGAATGTAGTCAATAATATTCTAATAACTATGTATGGTGTCATGGGTATGAGATGGGTATGAGATTTATTGGGATGATCATAGTAAATTATATAATGTCTACTCACTGGGATGTACACCTGAAACATAATATTGTATGGCAACGGTAATTGGAAAATAAAAAATGATTTAAAAAAAAGACGAGCTCAGCCAGCATGGCTCAGTGGTTGTGTCAAACTATGAACCAGGGGGTCACCGTTCTATTCCTGGACAGGCATATGCCTGGGTTGAGGGCTGTGGGGCATGCAGGAAGCAGCTGATCAATGATTCTCCCATCATTAATGTTTCTCTCTCTCCCTTCCTCTCTGAAATCAATAAAAATATATTTTTAAAAATTTAAAAGACCATATTCAGACCTTCTCAGACATAAGTGAGCTCAGGGAATACAGCACCCATGAGCCCCTTTACTTTTGTACAAAAATGATGTTTGGCCCTGGCCAGTTGCTCAGTGGTTAGAGCATCGGCCTGAGGACTGAAGGGTTGAGGGTTCAGTTTCCCATCAAGAGCACGTAACTGGGTTGCAGGTGTCCCCCCCCCACCCCCCACCCCCCGTAGGGGTGCATTCGGGAGGCAACCAATCAATGTGTCTCACATAGCTTTTTCTCTGTCTCCCCCCCCCCTTTCCATTCTTTCTAGAAATCAAAGGAAAAAATATCTTCAGGTGAGGATTAACAACAAAAAAATGATGTTTGTTTTCCGTCAACCTTTTTAATGCATTTTGTTTAAGTATCTTTGGAAGGATGGCTGGAGGCCACTGGTTAGCGGTAGCTTCCCATGCGAGGGCCTGGGCTGTGGTGCTGCAGACCAGCTTCAGAGGCAGGCTGGCCCATTCAGGCTCTGGTGAGGAGCTGCTGGAAGCAATGGAGGGCACCTGCCTGCTCTCCAACCTGCCTGCAACCTTGGAATGAGCACAGCACACTGAATTCAGGAGCTGGAGCAGCCCACTAATCCTGCGGTTCCTTTAACAGTGGCTGCTCTTCCTTCTCCGTCTCTTCTGGGTCTTTGTAGAAGTTTATAGCTTCTGTGTCAGCAGGGTAGGCGAGGTTCTCCTGCAGGAACAAATAACAAGCACGTTTTAGGTGCCTTGTAACAGCCAAGGTCTGCTGCTTGCTCAAGCCGCACGTCTCCTGCTGGTCAGTGGAAGGCGGTCTGCTCCTCAGGGCGTGAGGTGGAGGGAAGAAGCTCAATATGAGCTTCTGTGATCGCCATCTAATCACAGAACGGGGAAGGAGGGCTTGGTGAAATGCTCACTGGTTTTTTAGCTTCTTCCCAGAAGAGACACATGACAGTTCTGCTCACATTGTATTGATGGGAATGTAAAATGGTGCAGATACTATGGAAGACAGTATGGTGGGTCCACAATAACTTAAACATCAATTTAATGTTGAATTAGTTAATTAATCAAACACCTAAAGGAGGCAGAAAACAGAACTCTTCGCACACCTGGAAAAAGAACTGGAATATTTGTGAGCAGCCCCAATGACAAGCACAGCTTCCTATGGGCCCTGGGGACGTTAGTCCCACCGTGTAGAGGATTTTCTGGGCAAGCACCCACTACAAGACACTGAGTGGATTCTTTTGTTGTCACATGATATGGCAATATCCACATAAAGTGAACTGAAAACGCCACTGTGAGAGGGTGGTGGGCAGCCCTGAGATCACAATCA